GGGGAGAGAGCACCCTAAATGCTGCTGCTGGGTACGGGGTGAGGTTCTGGGGGGCTCCGGTCAGCCTGGCTGAGACCCACCTTCCTGCTCCAGGGCCTCCCAGACCCGCAGGCCCCTCCCCACTGTCAGCTCTGGGAGGTTTGCCCACCCACCCAAACGTTCTCTGCAGGAGGCCAGAGGGCCCGGAGCAGGGGAAGGGCAGACTGAGCAGGAGGAAGGGAGTGGAGCTGTCGGTGCAAACTGGTCCGTGCCATCCCAAGTCACACCTGGGACTCTGAACGCTGGCAGGCTGGGGCAGGCAGGAGGGAGTCAACCAGGTTGGAACAGAGACGGGGTGAGATGCCAGGGCACAGAGAGTAGGGACAGCCAGAAACAAAGAAGGGAGGGGAGGAGAGAGAAACCAAGACAGAGGGGAAGGCGCCAACGCAGGGAGGGCCATGGCCCCCGACAAGGACCGCACCCCACAGCCTCTTACTCGAGCCCCCACTGCCCAGGCCTGCCTCCTGGGGGGCTCCTAGCGCACCCGGCCCTGCAGAACCAGCCGAGGGCACCTGCCTGGGAGCCGGGAGTATGGGTTCCAGTTTCGTCTCTGCTACAAATGTGCTTTGTGATTCTGAGACAGGGCCCACCGCCACCAGAGCCTGCGTTTTCCCAGCTGTTAAAAAACAGGAGATCCTTGCCGAAACCGGTTTGGCTCAGTGGATAGAGCGTCAGTCTTCGGACTGAAGGGTCCTGGGTTTGATCCCGGTCAAGGGCATGTACCTTGGTTGCGGGCACATCCCCGGAGGGGGGAGGTTGCAGGAGGCAGCTGATTGATGATTCTCTCTCATCAATGTTTCTGACTTTCTATCCCTCTCTCTTCCTCTCTGTAAAAAAAATAATAAAATATATATTTCTTAAAAAACAACAACAGGAGGTCCTTAAGACCTTCTGCCCATTCTCCACTCCAGGAGAGCATGAAGCCCAATGCTTAGAGATAGTCTCAGGCAGAGGTGGGGGTGGAAAGAGCTGAGAATCTGGACTCACGGGCCCCCCTTCTTTTGCAGATGGGGTCCCTGCGGCCAGAGACAGCCCTCAGGCCGGCCCTGGAAGGAGCCACGGGCCCTGAGTGGTCAGCGTGCGATCTGTGCACCCGCAGCGGCGGCACCACCGGGAGTCGCTGATGGAAACGCAGTCTCTCAGGCCCTGCCAGACCTACTGGACCAGAACCTGCATTTTAACAAGATCCCCGGGGAGGCAAAGCTGAGAGCAGCCAGCCAGATGGCTTCGTGTGCGGGTTCCACCCGGAGCCTGGCTCCTCCGCTTACTGAGCGCCCACTCCCCCCTCGGCAAAGGGACAACCAAACCCCTCCCAGGCGGTCCGGGGGGCAGCGCCCGTGCGGACAGGAAGCGTGCGGCACCGTGTGTGCCGGGGCGAGCGCGCAGTAAGCAGACAGAGTGGCTGCTGGGGTGGAGCCGCACCGCTGCAGGATACACTACGCTCAGTGCGTGGCGCTTCCGCATTCAGCCCGGTCACCTGCCGGCTGTGTGATCCTGGCTAGGCCTATGACCTCTCTGTGCCTCCATTGCCTCCTGTAGATTAAGAATGGTCAGAGTTGCCAAAACCGGTTTGGCTCAGTGGATAGAGCATCAGCCTGCAGACTGAAAGGTCCCAGGTTCGATTCCAGTCAAGGGCATGTACCTTGGTTGCGGGCACATCCCCAGTGGGGGGTGTGCAGGAGGCAGCTGATCAATGTTTCTCTCTCATCAATGTTTCTAACTCTCTGTCCCTCTTCCTTCCTCTCTGTAAAAAAATCAATAATCAACCGAAGGACTTGTATACATGCATATAAGTACAACCAATGGACACAAAACTCTGGGGAGGGAGGGTATGTATGGGAGGGGAGGGGGACAATGTTAAAATATGTACACAGATAATAATTTAATTAAAAAAAAAAAAAAAGCCAAAACCAGTTTGGCTCAGTGGATAGAGCGTCAGTCTGCGGACTGAAAGGTCCCGGGTTCAGTTCGGTCAAGGGCATGTACAATGGTTGCGGGCACATCCCCAGTAGGGGGTGTGCAAGAGGCAGCTGATTGATGATTCTCTCTCATCGATGTTTCTGTCTATCCCTCTCCCTTCCTCTCTGTGAAAAATCAATAAAATATATTTTTAAAATAAAAATAAAAATAAATAATTTAATAAAACAAAATCACACAGCTAAAAAATATATATATACTTTTAAAAAATAGAGAAAATAACAGGTCCCACTTGTAAGTTAAAAAAGAAAAAGAAAAAAAGAATGCTCTATCCACTGAGCCTTCCTGGTGGGGCTGTTGAAGGACTAAGTCATTAAGTGACCCGATCCATGTGGCAATGACCTTCTACACATGTTTCTGCTGCTGTTGTGATGAGAGCCCGGAGCTCCAGAGACCTGGAATCTGGGGAAGAAGGCGATCTCCCCCCGCAGCTGGGCCTGAGGAAGAGGGGGGGGGCCGGAAGGGGAGACAGGACCACTTCCGGGGCAGCCGTCGGGGTCGGGCCCTGAGCAGGCACTTCTTTGGATGCTCGAGCTCCCGCGCGCGCACACACACGTACACACACACACACACACGCACGCACGCACGCACGCACACACACACACACACACACACACGTACACACACACACGCACGCACGCACGCACGCACACACACACGCACGCACACACACACACACACACCGCACGCACGCACACGCCTAGGTCACGCTGCACACAGGCACGCCCTGGGGGAGCCACAGAAGAGGGGCCCGGATGCTCTGCAGCAACCTCGCTGTGCAAACCTGAACCAGCCGCTTGCCCTCTCTGGGCCTCAGCTTCCTCGTTTGAAGGAAATCAGGCCGTTCGACAGTTTCTGAGTCTCTTCTGGCTCCAGCATGCACTCTGGTGGTTCTGGTGTGTTCTAAAACAGTCCCCTGCCCTGTCCACACCACAGCCTGGGTACCCAGAGGGCAGGACGACCCCCTCACACTCACACAGACACGGGGGCAAGAGCAACCAGAGACACAGCCCCGGCTCCTCCTCCTAGTCCTCAGGGCAGTGGTTCTCAGCCTTCCCAATGCCGGGCCCCTTTAATACCGCTCCTCCCGTGGTGATGACCCCAACCATAAAGTTTTTTTTTTCCATAAAGTTATTTTCGATGCTACTTCATAACTGTAATGTTACCACTGTTATGAATTATAATGTAAATATCTGTGTTTTAGGCTCTACAGCAGCGACCCACAGGTTGAGAACTGCTAGCAGGGTCGCCTAAGATCATCAGAAAACACAAAATTTTTAAAAAATATATTTTATTGATTTTTTTACAGAGAGTAAAGGAGAGAGATAGAGAGCTAGAAACATCGATGAGAGAGAAACATCGATCAGCTGCCTCCTGCACACCTCCCACTGGGGATGTGCCCACAACCAAGGTACATGCCCTTGACCGAAATCGAACCCGCGACCCTTCAGTCCACAGGCTGACGCTCTATCCACTGAGCCAAACCGGTTTAGGCAGAAAACACAGATATTTACAGTATGATTCATAGCAGTAACAAAATTAGTTATAAAGTAGCAAGGAAAATAACTTTATGGTTGGGGGTCACCACCACATGAGGAGCTGTATTAAAGGGGCGCGGCATTGGGAAGGTTGAGAACCACTGTCTCCATGCCTTCTCTCAGCAGGGCCAGGTGAGCTGGGGCACACCCTTTCCTGCGCATCACAGCCCAGGCCTCTGCTGCCCTCTGCTGGCCAGAAGCGGGATGGCTGCCTGGTCTGCAGAGCCAGGCGAGGCGCCTGCACCGGTGCACATTCTGCATGGGTTCTGTCCTTAGACCCATCCTCCCCCTCGGCCACGTCCCCTCCAGGATCCAGATGAAGACTGTGAGAGGGGGGGATAAGGCCCGTGACTAGCCTGGGTCCCTCAGCAGAGAGAAGAAACAGGAATAAACAAATACACTGGTATTTGTTATATCAACAGACCATGACATAGCACTCTATGTGAGCCAGGCACTGCCCCTGTGCTTCCCAGATATTACCCCGTCTGGCCTTCGAGAGAGGTGCCGGCACGATTCCCCACCTTACAGGTGAGGGAGCAAAGCAAAGAAACCCCAAAGCTATGGCCAGCAGGCTCCCAGGGGCTGTGGCACCCTCAGAGAGGAAGGAAGGCGCCGAGAGGGATCCAGCAGAGGTGGAGGCACATGGACACAACTACAGAAACATGGGAGGCGCGGGGCAGGGAGGGGGAGAGAGGGAGCAGCAGGATGGCCAGGGGAGGGAGGGGAGGGAGGCGGGCTCCCCTTTGACCCCGGGGCCCCAAAGATGCTATCAGGCCAGACCCTGCCGGAAAATCCTTCCTGGATCCCTCACATTCCAGCCTCTGCTCGGCTGGTTTTACAGCCTCGCGGTGCAGCCGGACACTGTTTATGGCAGCCCCATTCTCCGGCCCTTGTCTCCAGCCCCAAAGGCATCTGGCCAGGCTAAGGGAGGCTTGTGGGGGCAGGGGTCCCCCCTCCCCAGCCTCCCAGCCCCTTCTTTGAACCCTGCTGGACTCCGGAAGGAGGGGGCTGGGTGGGCGCAGAGGGCCCCTTCCAGCTCCTCACGGCATGTCTGGGAGGGAGAGGCAGACCCCCGGCATGGCCCCCGCACAACGGCCACTGAATCCCACGCTGCGGTCCTCGCTGTGTGACCTTGGGCACGGGACTCGACGTGAGGTGACCCTCCCCAGCCTCAGTTTACCCTCCCGTAAAATGAAAATAAAAGTACCTCGTGGTTATTTCTGAGAATGCGACATATGGTATATAAAGCGTCGGTCCCACATGGAGCTGATACCACTGGCCACCTTAGCGTGTGTGTGAATAAGGCAAAGCACCAGAGATCCCCACCCCCATGTAGTGGTCCTGGAATGTTCCACAGATTCTTCCCCCAAATCACTACCTGTGCTACAGGCTTCTGTTCCACCCCTCACCGGTCCCCCCAGACCCCTCAGCCTCCTCCACACGCTTCTGCCTGGGCTTGTGTGTGTCGCCCTCTGCTGTCAGTGGGACGCACTGCAGCCTCCTCTGCCTGCTGGGGGCTAGGCTAGAAAGCTGAGCCTGGAGGAGAGGGGGCCCAGGCAGGCGGAGGTGTTTCCAGGACCTGGGGAGAGCTCTCTGGAACCCATACAGGGACCCAGAGCCACAGGGCCAGAGCGGGTGGGGAGTGGAACCCTGTGTCCCAGGAGAACGTTCGGGCAGATGAGCTGACGAGAGGACGGATGCAGGGAGACCTTGAAGAAGGCTGCCCAGGGAGGCAGGCAGAGAGGCAGGGGCGGGAGCTGCACGAATAAAGAAACCCCCTTTCTGCCGAAACCGGTTTGGCTCAATGGATAGAGCATTGCTCATCGATGTTTCTAACTCTCTATCCCTCTCTCTTCCTCTCCGTAAAAAAATCAATAAAATATATTTTAAAAAGAAAAAGAAAAAAAGAATCCTCCTTCCTGGAGAGGCCCCAGCCTGGCAAACACTGGGGGCGGGTGGAGGAGAGGGAGGAACACCTGTGAGGCCCGAGAGACACTGGGAAGGACCCTGGGGGCGAGGGAGGACCCTGGGGGCGAGGGAGGACCCTGGGGGCGAGGGAGGACCCCCCACAGGCCCAGGGGTGGGAAGAGGTGCCCTTCAGGCAGATAGGGCTCTGGCAGGGCCGAGCGGGTCCCCGGAGTGTCTCCCTGTGAACGTCCAGAACCGGCTGAAGATGGACCACTCCGGGGAGACGGCCTCCTCCGCCCCACCCCCACCCCGCCCGGCCCCTCCACTCCCCGGGGCCTTACAGAGAGAGCCCGTTGGCGCAGAGGAAGGACTGATAACCGTGCCGAGAGGGGCTGCACACCCCCACCTCCCCAGATCCCCCGCCTCTGCTCCCCTGCCCATGCCCACGGCTGGGTGAGTCCTACGCAGGTGGGCCAATCTCAGGGGCTTTCCACGCTAGACCTTCCCTCGAAGTCACCGGCAGCAAGTCCTAGAGCAACGTCAAGGGCCGAAAGGCTGTGGCCCCCTCTTTCCGCACCCTGAGACCCTGTAGCGGGCCTGCTCTCCCCCCTCCCCACACCCCCTTCCCTTCCCCGCCACCTGCCCCCTCCCTCCGAAGCCCCCTCCCTCCGCCAAGAATTCCAAACAAGAGGCTGGGCTCCGGGCCCCGTGTTTGTGTGTTTATCTCACGACAGGCTCTGTCTTGTCAGAAGCTGCCCCCGCGCCTGACCCCGGCCCTGCCCCCGAGCTCCGCGGGGAGGATACACTGAACAGGGATGCCTCGTGGACGGGCCCAAGTGTGGGGGTCCATGTTCTCAGGGCCTGGGCACCGGCGGTCTCTTCTCCCGACAGTCCCCCTCGGGGTGCCCCCTCTCCGGGCAGGGATCCGGGCGTCAGCCCCGCGCCTCCTCCAGCTGCAGGGCTCCGGTTCGCAGCCCACGCCTCCCCTGCCCGGTGCCCCGCAGAGCGGGCCTTGGGGAAGGGCCTGCAGAGAGGGCGCCCAGAGGAGACATAAACACACAGGGCCTGGGCGAGGGGCCGGAGACGCCAAATGAAACTGACCGCCAGCAGGTCATAAACAGAGCAGGACCAGTTGTAAATAAAGAGTGAAAGTCACTGTAAACAGACGGCGAGAGGCCCCAGCAGAGGGACGGACGGACGGGGTGGTCAGCGTGATCACGGGACCCTCCCCAAGGGAGCAGGGAAGGGCAGGGCCCTCGGAGCACCTGGCCCAGAGGCAGGAGGGCCTGGGGACAGGGCCAACATACGGGGCGGGAGCTTGCTGCCCTCGGAAGGAAGGGACGCCACACGAGGATATGAGTGGATGGGGTCGCCGAACAGCAAAAGGGAAGGAAGTGAGACTTACAGAATGACCTCCTGGCATCAAGGACAAGTGTAATCGGCCACCACTTCCCCTTTTCCTGTTAGGCTCCTATCTGCCCTCCCTCCAGCCCCGCAGGGCAGCGGACAGGTTCCCAAGGGGTAGCCGAGGGGAAAGACGCAGAAGCCGAGGCCCAGGCCACCTCTCAGGGGAGAGGAGGGCCTCGTGGAGTGGGATGTGTGGGGGAAGGGCACAGAGAGAATCGTCAGACCTCCCAGCAAGACAGCAAGACAGCGTCCCGGAGCTGGCAAGCCCCAAACCCGAAGGCGAAGAGCCAGGCCCATCCTTCCCTCCCGCCTCACGTTCTCCTTCCCCGATTCCATCTCATCTGCCCTTCCTCTCGCCCACTCCGGTTTCTACCTCCTCCAGCTCTCCTCGTCTCCCGTGGCAGCTTCCCAGTCCCCAAGCATCAGGTTCAAAGGCCAAACTCTGAGTCAATCCTAGCATTTCCCTTTTTAAAAAAAATATATATTTTATTGATTTTTTTACAGAGAGGAAGAGAGAGGGATAGAGAGCTAGAAATATTGATGAGAGAGAAACATCAAACAGCTGCCTCCTGCACAGCCCCCCTAGGGATGTGCCCGCAACCAAGGTACATGCCCTTGACCAGAATCGAACCCGGGACCTCTCAGTCCGCAGGCAGACGCTCTATCCACTGAGCCAAACCGGTTTCGGCCCAGCATTGCTCTTACACATCAGCGGATGGGTCAGACTGACACTGGGGGGACATCTGGACATGCGGCTCTGCCTTTGTCTCCCCCACAGGGTCCCCCTGTCCTCACCCCGCCCCCCCCCCCCACACACACACACACACACTCGCCAATAGATGTTCCCTTCATTTTCCTCTCACCTCTGTGTACATGCCTGGCCTCCACACCCTGCATCCGCCTAAACTCTGGAAGTCAGGGAGAAAAGGAGGACATTGGTGCTTGCCCTTCCCAAGGGGGCAGGTGGGCCCTGTTCTGTGCCTAATCCCTCAGCATGGCGAAGGGGGGTGGGGGGGTGTCAGGAGAAGGCCCAGATGCTGCCAAACCTGGGAGCCACAACCTGCTCCACCCTGCTCCCCACCACCACCCCTCCATTGCTATTCACAGTGCACAGCTGGGTGATTAATGACCTGATTAATAATTACTCAGGCTAATAAAATAATTAATTAATCTGGCAAGCCATCATTCATCTGCTCATCCTCAGCCTGAGACTCTGCGACTAGGAATTTGGGGATCTCCCCTTCCGGCTCTCTCAGAGATGTGCTCATTAATGTGGGCAGGGAAGGGTGGGGGGGTCTCCATCCTGAGACCCTGGCCAGGGAGGACAGGTGGGGAAGGAGCTGACCAGAGAGGCCTGGTGGGGGGTGGGGGCCGCTGAGCACCCATGTTTGGGGAATTTGTGGATGTGCTCTCTCCAGCCAATGATTGATGACACTATTTTCAACAAATGATCTTTATCTCCCCTCTTGTCTCCCAAATTTATGAGTCTGCCCCCAAGCCCCAGGCTAGACAGGCAAGGACCCAGCGGGGAGAGTTGTGGTGTGGGGGTGGGCTGACGTGGGGTGGGGTCCAGGAACCAGCGCCATGTCCCCGGGACCCTGCAGGGCGGAGAAGTCCCCCCTCCATCTGTGTCTGGGCTCCTGAGAAACAAAGCTCTCCCTGGGGTTTGATTTGGGTCTCCAGAGCCTAGAGGTCTGTCTGCAGCACCTCCTCCCTGCAGGGAGGGGAGCGAAACGCAGGGAGAGAGGGGACAGCTGGTCCCCTAGGCCACATGTGTCAAACACAAGGCCCGCGGGCCAAATCCGTCCCGCCAGGCCTTGCAATGTGGCCCGCACCGCGCTGTCATCACTGCACTCCGCTGCGTTTCCATCACAATGACAGTTTATGACTGTTCAGTAAACCATTCGGCCCGCGATTTAGGCTGGATTTTAGATTTTGGCCCCTTCTCTGATTGAGTTCGACACCCCTTCCTAGGCCCTAGGAGGAGGGGCGGCACAGGCCTGCCCCGGCGGAGAGCCAAGGAGGCGACCGGCCTGTCCAGTCAGCCTTCAAACAGTCAGGGCATCTCTGCCGAGTTCCGGGCCCAGAGGCAAACACAGGAAACTGGTTCTCCCTGTGGCAGGCTAAGGTGCCAACTGGTCAGCCATGGATGTGCAAGGACAGATCAGAACCAGGCCTTGCCCTCAGCCTAAGGGAACTCAAGTCCTTGAGGGGCGAGAACAGACTTGTGAGCAGATCATGCCCGGCCTCCGGCCTCCGTGCCACAGAATGGGAGTGTGTACACAGTCCCAGGAGCACAGACGGAGCCTGCCCAGGGCGTGCCAAGAGGACATAATCTCAGAGAGGGGACATTTGAACTGGACTTTGAGGTATGCATAGGAGTTTGCCAAGTAAAGCCACGAAGAGCAGGATGAGTCTGGAGAACTGTGAGCAAGGAGGCAGGGAGGAGACCTGATGAGACAGGAGGCCAGAGCATAGAGGATGGAGGTAGCCTGCGCCTGCATCTGGACTTTTTCCCGTGGGGCAGGGGGGCTACTAGAGGTATAAGTAGGCCAGCGGCCTGCAATTTAGAAAGAGACTCAGCAGAGGAGAGACAGTAGGTAGGGAGACCAGGTAGAAGGCTGGAGCCTGAGCTGAGGATCCTGAAGGATTAAGGTTGGGACCTGGCAGTGGCCAGCAGGTCTGCGTGGCTCCAACTCCCATAGCTCAGATGTGCGTCAGAACAAAACGCCTTTACCTGGAACAAGGCACGAGTCCATCCCCATTTCACAGATGGGCAAGTGGAGGCTTCACACCTGGGTCATATGGTTGCAGGCGTCTTCAAACTACGGCCCGCGGGCCACATGCGGCCCGCAGAGGAGTCTGATCCGGCCCACCAGGTTTTTTGGGCAGTGAGCGCAGCCGAGGTGTAACAGTAGGAATTAGTAGTTCATATAGTCGGGCCCTCCAGCTCTCTGAGGGACCGTGATCTGGCCCCCACTTTAAAAAGTTTGAGGACGCCTGCGGAAAACCCGAACCCAGGCCTCCACCACAGGGTTGTATGGGTGTCCCACCTGTGTGCTGGTCGCGCTGTGGTCCCTGTTGCCTTTAGAGACTCTACACAGGCGGCCGCTGAGGTTTTCCCCACCGCCCACCACCCCACCGTCCACCGTCCACCGTCCAGCGTGGGCGCGGAGACGGTTAGGGAACCCGGGTCTTTGATCCACCACACTTCTGAGGGGCGGGGAGGAGCGGGACCCTGCTCCACAGAACTGAGGGGCAGGGAGAGTGGAGCCGCTCCTGGCAGGAGGACTGCATGTCTGGCATCAGTCCGGCTTCCGCCCCGGGCGCGTGGTCAGGACAGACAGCGGCCCACAGCCCTGGCCACGGCGAGGGGGCCGGGCGGCGGTGCCCCCGGCGGCCAGCAGAGGGCGCGCGGGGGCGGGCCGGCCGGGAGAGGGCCGTGGCCGGGCTGCAGCGAGGTGGCCGCGCCAGCCGGGGCGCCCTCTGCTGGAGGCCCGCCCCGCAAGGCCGGGCTCGCGGCTCCCACAGCGGGGTCCCTCCCCATTCCGGGCTCCTGGAGTCCCGCAGGAAGCGAAAGTCCCGCCTGGAGAGTTGTCTCCTAGGTCTGGCAGAGCCAGTTCTGGGGTCACCCATCGCATAATCTTGGGCTCCCTGCCTAGCAGCTCTCCAGCTTTTGCTGGATCGGCCTTTAGGGACGGGGGCCTGGCCTCTCCAAGAGCCTCAACACATCTGTGAGCGAACCTACTCCTGCGCACGCGGGGGTCTGCGTGGCTCCAACTCCCAGAGCTCGAATGTGCATCAGAACAAAACGCCTTTACCTCCGAACAAGGCTCGAGTCCATCCCCATTTCACAGATGGGCAAGTGGAGGCTTCACACCTGGGTCAGATGGTTAGAGAATGCAAAACCTGAACCCAGGCCTCCACCACAGGGCTGTATGGGTGTCCCACCTGTGTGCTGGTGGCGCTGTGGTCCCTGTTCTCAGAGGGAGGGTCACCAGGGAGACAAGAGAGGAGGGAGAGGAGGCCGACGCCGACCGGGCGGCCGGGAGCGAGCGAGCGAGCGAGCGAGCTTCTCCAAAGTGGGGGGGGGGGGGGGGGGGCCTAAGATCCTACATGGGCCCAAACCGGTTTGGCTCGGTGGATAGAGCGTTGGCCTGCGGACTGAAAGGTCCGGGGTTCAGTTCCGGTCAAGGGCTGCGAGCACATCCCCAGTAGGGGGTGCGCAGGAGGCAGCTGATGGATGATTCTCTCTCATCGATGTTTCTAACTCTCTCTATCCCTCTCTCTTCCTCTTTGTAAAAAATCAATAAAATATATATATTTTTAAAAAGACCCTACATGGGCTAAGGTCCTACATGGGCTATCGCAGCACCTCGCCAGCCTCTCCCCGCCCCCTCCCCCCCAGGTGCTGGGTAGCCCATGTAGGATCTCAGCCATGTAGGACCTTGGAGGAGGTCTGTGCCGCCAGTGTGCGGTCTGACTTGGACGCATCCGGACACAGTTCGCCCCATCCGGCTGGGCAGAGCCCTTACCCCCACCCCCAAGCCCCGGGGGGGGGGGGTGTCTGGGGCCACCCAGGTGTCTGCGGGCCGGGCGCGAGCACCTGGTGGGGCCGCCCACTCCTCGGACCCCGTAGGCGCTTCCGCGGAGGAAGGGCCGCTGCCGCCGCTGCCCGCACTTCCCGCAGCGAACAGTCTCACCCTGAACCACGTCGTCTCTCCCGCTCCCGCCCCCTGACGGGGTTTCAGGAAATTCGCCTCCAGCTCCTGAGAACAGCATCATCCCCCCCTTACACCCCCCTGCCCCCTCCCCAGATCTGACTCCAGTGAGTAAGTCCTTTCTGGTGTCTGACCACCGTCTTTCCTGCTGCAGCTGCAGCTAAACCTACTGGTTCTGTTCTCACGGGAGAAAGTGGCTGCTTTTTACCTTTCCTCCTTTTAGCTAAATAACCCAAACCCCCATGCTGACGCCCCACTTCCCCATCCTGACAAGACCTGCCGTTAGGGGCCCCCATCTTTCACTTCTCCTGCTTTGTAGTGAAGGTAATTCAAGGTTGTCCAGTTTCCCTTGTTACTACCGGACCTCTCCAGCTGCACCCGTACCAAACCCCATGCGCCTGGGCCCACGGGTGGCCTCAGTTTCCCCGGTGCAGACTGGCACCCCCACCCTGTGGCGCCCTCCTTTTGGGGGGGGCTCCACCGTGTCTGAGTCATC